TTTCGAACAACTCAAGAGAGTGGTTTTTTTTTTCTTTATTTTTTTCTAAAAAACGCATTTCTCACATCGATACAGACTTTCTGATGTTTATTAAGATATTGCGTAATTTATTAGTTTCGTGAGTAGACGGGGAGTTTGAAAAGGGATACGGTTTTAGTATTTTTTTCGTACAACTCATTATTTGACCAGTTACAGTATTATTAATAATTTATTTCCTTAATTCCTTTGTTATTTTCATTAGAATAATAACGATGATGGGAGAAATTTATGTTTTTTTGACGAAATATCTAACCTTGCTTCTAACTCAAAAATGACGTGCGGATGAAATAAATTCAAGAAAATATACGTTTCACATTTAATACGCATAGATTTCAAGTCACTGTAACGAGCCAACTACGTGGGGGGGGGGGTCAACATACACAAGTGTCAAATATCATTTAAAATTAAAATTATTGCTGTGGAATAAATTATTACCAAAAAAAATGTATGACCTATGTAGAAACTACATCACATATACTAAGAGCCCAGTTTGAAAATGTGTTTTTGTTAATGGTTTCGGCTTTAGATTAAAATAACTACAATGTAGTTATGTCATGTCTTTTTAAAAAAAAATAATGAAATAAGTTGATTTAGTATTTAACATTATAATTAATATTATACGAATAGAAATTTTCGTTTGAAGAATTCGTTAAATAATGACTGTTAAGGATAGGTCACAGGAGTGGAAATTGTGTGACGAATAATTATTTATAGAAGTATAATTTTTTGCACATCGAAGACAAATTTAATATGAAGAATTAATAATTAACAAAAAAAAAAAAAAAACTCAAAAAAATTACTATTTGAATTTATTTTAATAATTTTAGAATCAATTTTTAATAATTTAAACCGCTATTAAAATTCACTGTTATCCTAAAAACAAAAGTAAAATATATGATATACTCGTATATTCTTTAGCATGCGATAATAGGAGCAATTGTGTAATTTTATAAAATAAAATAAGATAAAATAAGATACAATAAAAATAAACAAAGTACAATACAATTTAGACCCACCCAACTCGTGTATCTCAAAGTTTTTTTAATCATTTAGTAGACACCTGATAAGATACATGCATTCATATTGTCCTAGTTTCTTAGTCGACCAAATATAGCTGCATTAACATGTAAAGCGGAGGAATTTTAAACTGTTAGTTTTGAAACAATAGTTCATTATCATTAATCATTAGAAGAAAAATATTAAATAACCAAATAAATAATTATGACATTAATTAAACTCAAAAATCAAAACTATTTTTAACTATAACATTTTACATAATGTTACTATATATATACATGAGAGTATACGTATTCATAACTTTTTGCGGATAATAAACAAAATACATAACTGTAAATAGTTACTTAACACAGTTGATTGTGTGTTATTAAGATAAGTAAGGATGATTAAAAATTTCTACTCGAATAGCCATAATAATTATAATGCTAAATTGCTCTACTCAAATCGAAAATATTTCACAGTTCAACTGAATTAAATTAATATTAATGGTTAAAACGAATAGGTATTTCATGAGTCATAATAATATGTTAATAACTATAGAAATGCATGTCACATAGTTTCTTAACATTAGTAAAAGTAATATATAATCGCATAAATACGTTAACCTAGAATGATTTCCAGCTGTTCTAATCTTATCATAAACAATTTTTATAATAAAAATTAAAATATTTATAAACATTTGACTCGTCTGAGTGTCATTACAATACAATAAACATATCAAATTATACTAACATAGTATCTAAATCAACTGAATGTATCTTATATAAATCAAGTCATATTTATGAAAGAAATGATATGAAACAACAACTGTACATAGTGTTTTTATATATAACATGTGAAATAAGTTTGATCTCTGTACTAACTGAAATGATAAAACGCAATTTCACTAATTCAATTTATTCTCGGATTTCTATGGGAAAACAAAGTACATTGCAATCACTTAGAGTCGATTTTAAAAATATAAGTAATACAGGACGATTTATATAACTTGAAAGCAAATCACTTTCAAAATCCAATTCTGTACAATGAAAGTTGTTGAAAAGCGTAATAATCTAAAACTAAAAAGTATATAGGATTGGAATCCGTTGAAGCCTTACACTCTTCGACTGCGTGTACGAGTTCCGCGAAATTGATCTATCGGTCATTAATTTCCGAACCGATTATAAAAAGTACTACAATGCACGTCCCGAAACACGTATTCGAGTCATCGAGACCTCAAACGGAAACAATCTCTCTATAAATCTTTAATCTTGGTCGAACCAATATGAGTTACCAACGGAATTTAGAACGTGCATTATAAACTGTCCAGTTGAAAATTACGTTCGGGCACGCCAAGAACGTATATAATAAATGTATGTAAAACACATAAAACCAGAGTTGTAATACTTTCGAAATTTAAATAAATAAAATTAAAAAAAAAAAAATAAAATCGTTGATATTGTGAGAAACGTTATCTATCACAGCATATTAATTCAAACCGGAACGACGTCTCTCATAACGTTATGTATCCGTCCGCGTATGGGATTATTTTTATTTCGTTTTATTACTTCGGACTACTACTATTTTAATGTATAAAACGGACGGACCCAGTGGCTTGTTCAGGAGGGGGACGATGGAGGATACATCCCCTTCATGGACTTTTTTTTTTAAGTCTTAAACGTTTAAAAACATATTTAAGAAATACGACGGGGCAGTCACGGTTAAATGGATTGGCGTTGATCAAAATACATCGGAACATTCCATTATCTTCGGAAAAAATAATTGATGAATTTAGTGTAAAAGCCAAAAGGATGAATTTCCGCCTTGATTGCATTTTTTTTTTTTTTTTTTGTGCAAAGAATATAGAATAAAGATTGAAAATAATACATTTTTATTTATGACATCCCCCCCATACCAAATTCCTGAACACGGCACTGAACGAACCAATTATACGCACGCGGGTTGACCGTACTGCATAACATTGGCCGTGTTAAGCTCGCCGCCGTCTTGGTTGGAATACGATGAGTGCATGCGCGCGTTTATGCATTCTTATCGCGCACGGTGTTAAACCATACGCAATGGATATCGACACTAATACGATATCGATTCGATCCGGAGAGAGAAAATCTGATTTTCCGCGCGCTACGGATTTGAACCGTATTACTCCGTATTTTACTCACGGATCGTCCGTTGCGAGTTCATTCGATTACGCTTCCGGCGCGCGTGCGAGTTCGCTTTTTGCGGCCACAACGGGCGTACAAATGATACGTAAGGGGATAAAAATTCGAATTTCGCGCGCGTTTACGTATCTCACCGTCCGAGTTAGCGTACGATAGCGTACCCGAATCGACGGTCAGTGATATCGGTTGCGGTCAGGATCGCACTGCTGGGCCGCTCGCGTTCGCCGTGGAATTTTTATTTTTCATCTTATATACGTACTACTCGCGATCACACCTATAATAATAATAATATTCCGGCGCGACCGAGTCACCGAGATACGTGTACGCTTTCTCTTCGGCGGCCATCCTGCTCGACACGTCGTATCGGCTCGCGCGTACGCATATTATAGATACGGCTAGTGATGATAATAACAGTGTACGACAACGCGTACCGGGGGCGCGCGCGGGTGACCGTGAAACTGGTTACGGTTCGGACCGACCACCCCGGCGGGTTTGAATTCTGTTACACGCGCGCACTTGACCACGGTAGCCGTGACCTACAACGGACGGCGGGGTCGCAGGGGGAACCCTCGGCCGGCGTGTCGGCCGTTCATTGAGAACCGGACGGCCGCCACCTACATACACGATCATTATAACGCAGCATTGCCGCGGTCCCTAGACAAGCCGTCGGTTTTTTTGTTTTTTTTTTTATTCCGTTCGTGTTCTCACGATCGTTAAGAGATTTTTGTTGTTACACGTGCCGTGTATTCCACACGGCGCAGCTCACCGTTGTTTCTATTCGGCTTCCGACCCGTAGACGGTGGACCCACCGACGTTCTAGTGCCGATCGGATACACTGAATTCGAAACGAATAACAAGATGTTTCCGACGATCTCCGCACAGGTGTTACTGCTGTTGCCGATCGATCGGGATTTATCGCCACGTTTGACTGGTTGAAGCCTAGAGGGATGTGTCCGTCCGTCCAAACCCGATGACCTTTGCTCCCTCGCCGATATCCGAACGCAGCTCACTTTGCGCGAGAAACCAACCGGGTGTGCGACGACGGCGGTGTCGTTGTTGTTTTATACATACGAGAACCGCCGTTGCCAACGGATGGACTGGACGCATAAGTAGTAATAATAATAACAATAATAATAATAGTAAAACTCTCGCTACAGTGGCCGCTTCCAATACACAACTACGTGTTCGAGGCTGAGTGGCATTTAAATCGAGGGAAGTTGACGGCGACGTTCAGGAATTTATTAATTACGACGTCGTGTCCGTATACGCAGCACGTGAATGTGTGCGAGCGTGAGCACGCGTGCGCGCGCGCGCGTGTGTGTGTGTGTGTGTGCCCTTCGATATCAGCGAGCACACTCCTCTTTGTGGGTCACTGGGTCTCTACACGCGGTGACGGCAACGACCCGTCCGTCCGTCCGTGTCAGCCCGTCGCCCCTCTTCCCCGGGGACCACCACTGACCTTCCAACGATGGAAAAGTTGAAGAAAAAGTCTTTCTGCTCTTCCTTTCACGATTCGCGACTAGTGTCTGTGTAATCTGTACGGGATTGCGAACACGGGATTATCGCAGGATTTCAACATGCACTTCTCATCCCTCGCCCTCGTCATCATGTTAAAAAACCGTACGTACGCGTCGATGTTCCGTCGAACTGAACGCGGGAGTAAATCGTCGATTCGCACGGAGAGAGCGAGAGAGAGAGAGAGAGAGAGAGAAAGAAAAGAAAAATGAAAGTCCGCGCGCGCAATAAAAATCGATTATTCCGATCAGCGTTTTGAGAAGAAAAAAAGACGTATGTTCCAAAAACGAAATCGGAACGGCCCGGTGAAAGTCCGACCAGTTCGGTTGTCGACAACGGACGTCTGCGCTCCGGTGAAAAATCCCCGTCGGAATTCGGACCCGGGAAACGACACGTCGCAGGTAAACGTGACCACGAGTATACGCACCACGTACTCGAAGTCGATTATTAAATATTATCGCGAGGCAACCTCGGGAGAACCGGTCCCGGCGACCAAGACGACCGGGTCTTTCTTTCGGTTTCTTTTATCCGCGCGCACCGGCGATAGTTCCGACGGTTTTTTTTTTATTGGTATTATTATTTTATTTATTTTTTTATTTTTTCTATCTTACAATATTTAGGTCAAGGATGTCGGGGGACAAGTTCAACGCACTTATAAGGAACTCGCCGTTGTCGCGCACGGCTTACACACCGACGACGGCGGTCAACTTCACTCTCTCGCGACGAAACGCACGGTGTACACACACAATATAATTATGTTAATACGGAATATCAATAATAACATAACGATACGTTTCAACGGAAAAGAGAATGCGCGCGCAGCATTGGTCCACTACGAGGGGTTCCAGAAGTGGTTAGCGTTTCCAGTTCATTTTGACCGAACAAATATAGTTTTAAAAGAATAAAGTGAATGTGATTTTATATGCATCGTGTAACACCATGTATAAAAAAAAAAATGTTTTGTTCATTTATTTCACATCTTCAATAAAGGTGCCCATGTGTTAAGGTTTATTAAATAATAACTATCGAAATTCAGATCGACTCGGTTTTCTTTTATGTCGTAAGTAATAATGGCATTAAGAGAGCTAAACCCCAATGAATGACCTTGACGTTCCCGACCAATCCGGTACCTGTTTATAATTTTAATGTTGGTACCCGATCAAATGTCCGTCGTGTTGCCATATTGTTACCGCAATGGTTTTATAGATGGGTGCGCAGAAACTTATATTGAACTTATTTTCGAAAAGGAGAGTGAAGCATGTAAATCATGTTCAGATATTTTATCAAATAAACATACAGAATTTCCTACGTGGATATAGAAAACATCAGTACCTACATAGCTTTTGTGTTTGTAAAGATATACAAGTCCCAATTTTAACAAATTCAACATTTGTTATATTTTATTCTTATTTCTCTGTAAAGCAATACATTAAAAACCATGAACCTGATCAAATCAAGTACCATTTGTTGAACTTGCGACGTCAACATTTTCGGTAAACGAAATTAAGTTTAAATAACCTTGTGTGCTTGATTACGTTGTTTATGTAAAGGGTTAAATAACTTTCGACTCGGATTGTTCTAATCGTTTGAACGAAACAAAGAGTCCGTCTTCGATAGCACAGGAGAAATCACAGTTGGCATGTCCTCGTGGGACGGCCAGGACGATAGAGGCGATGCGCCGGAACAATTGTGAAACCTTCAGATTTTTAATGTGTTTGCGTACCGCACCGGTACTTATTTTTCGGACCGAACGTCGAGAATAAATGTTGACGCGATGGACGACGATGATGACTCGTCGCCGCGTTACCACGTCACCGTGAAACGATGATAACGATCGTGCACATTTGGTCCGATGAAAACGAAAAGTGTCGGGTGGGACGTACTGGGCACGACGATTTTTCCAAACGCGGTATAATCGCGCGCGACGAGAATCGGACCGACCGACCGACAGGAAAACCGTTACGCTACGTCCTAACTAGTGCTTTTTCGGCGGTCTATTTAGTGTTTCGTTTTTGCGGTGCGCGCGCTAAGCGCAAACGCACTAGTTAGGGGACCTAACCCGAGATCCGACCGCGTTTCCGTTTCTCGCCGGAGCGACTTTTAACCGTCCGGTAAAAGTACGCACTTTTACCGGACGGTTAAACGTTCTCGGGCACCGTAACCGCTGCCGACGTGGACACGGCGATCGCGACGCGCGTGCGCGACTTTCTCCCGGGCCGAGGCGTTCCGGGGCGGATTCCGGTACGTCCTCGGAGCCCGGTGAACAACGCGCGGCGGTTCCGTGCAGTTGACATATTATTCCGGTCGCGCGCCGCAGATCACGACTCGAATCGCGAATGCCGCGAGAACGACACCCGTACGGAATGCGCGTGTTCTCTCTCGTATACGAAGTGTTCCCCCGAACGAAATACAGTGGGACCACTTCGTACACGGTGGCTTCACACGGTTGAACATCCGAACGCGATGCGTCCCCGAACATCTTTGTGACGTGCAAACATTGGTGTGCTCGAAAAAATAAAAAAAAAATAAAACGAAACGAAACGACCCTCTTAGGTATACCAAAGGTATAAAAACAACCATGAAAATCGTAAATTTCCGTAAAAAAAAACGATCGTATGTTTGTTTGAGAATTTGAACGCTTAATATTGTTACTAAAAAATCGAATCACCGTTCATTTCATTTTGGACAGTTTCTGATTCAATCGCATTAGAAAATTAGTCTTTGGCTGTATAAACCGATAAACGTAGGAAAAAAATACTTCCCGACGGGTACGAGCGGCCCATTGGCAAACTCCCGTCTGTCCGGTCCGGCCCTGATGCGGTCGCAGCGTACCACGTCGACGATTACGATGCGCGCAGGAACATAGCTTCGATTCCTGTGGAGTCGAACACGCGCGTGCGGACTTAATAATCGCATATATTACGGGTCTAAAATGCCGTGAACGAAAAAAAAAAAATAAAAAATATATCATGTCGTACTCTCGTAGGCGTGTACGCTTTCAGAACGAGATCGAGGCGCAACGATATGGATTTTTCGCTGCAGTCGTATATATCCTACGCAGTGCCGTCATTGTAACGATGTAGTTAGTTATTTTCGCCGTAGTCGCTGTTCTCGCGATACTTTTTTTTTTTTTATAATTTTTTTTTCATCATCATTATTTCGTCGTTCTTAGCGTTCGAATATTGATGTAAAACCAAGTAAATACGTTACGCGGTACGCGTGTACCATAACAACTCGGTTCTGTTGTCGACCGACTTCGCCGGTTAATAAGTTGTACATCATTTCTGTACTCGAATGCACAACAACGTCGATCGATAGAGATAATTACGATGCGCGCGTCGACTGAAACATTGAAAGCGAGCTGATTGCATTTGTATGTTGTACGCGTACCGTTGTGAAGTCTAAAAGGAATTTTTTTTTTTTTTTACCATCAACAGCTGTAGACCGAGTTCAATATAAGAATACTTGAAATATAATAGTTTTAGATTTTTTTTTTTTTTTTCTTCAATCGTCACAACTGAAAAAGTTTATAAACGAATAGTGTTGTGTGTCTGAGATTAAATAAAATTAATAATTTGGATATCGTCGGCTCGAATCTATGTTGCGTAGTATATCAATTAAACGTCCAAGTGTGAATCACACGCCGTTATACAAAGGTTACCGTATAAAAATAGTATAAATGCGAAATATGAAATTTAGGCCGGGAAACGCGTCGCTATACCTCTGACCTCCAGTCGTCGAGCCGTATTTCAAATAATGTTGTAACTGTTAAGCTTACAAGTGATGTACAGTGCTGATAACAATAAACAAAACTAAACAATGGAACACGCGAGTTGTGCGGATTTTACAAAACAGTTGTGTGTTTATGAATAAATAGTTTGATTGATAGTTTTTTTCTTCTATTCAGACTTCCGTTTTGTTTGGTTTGACAAATTTACGATTTGCTAATAGTATGATTCGAGCGCTGAATACACATAGTTAAAATCACAGTACCCAACATTGATTTGCATAGTATTTGATAAATCTGAGGAATCCAACCATTTCAATATAGACAACGCGTTGGTTCTCGCAATGTTTGACAACATCATCAAAATCATAAATCATTAATTGTTTAAATATAGCGCACGTACATTTCCCCCTGCACTGCGGTTGTTATTCGGTACCTACGCGTAGCTATTTTCCACCAACACCGCGACTCTAATGTAAGGAAGGAGCTATGATTCTTATAACTTCGGAATCGTATCAAACACAATAATAATAACTATGTTCTTACAAGTAACCTAGTTTTCGTTTTTAATAATTACAAGAGCTGTGATTACATGTAGGCCAAGTAAAAATCATTGTATTGGTATTCATTTTAAATGCAATAAGTAACTATGTACTAGCGCAAGCTACCTGAAACCTGTATTTAGAAAATATTACTTTTTAACTTACCTCGAAAGAGAAAACGTGTATGTATGCATATAAATGGAATATTTGATTTCGAGGAGAGTATAATGAGTATAACAGAATGGATGGGAACTAGATACTAAATCATTCGGGTTTTAATGGACACAACAATAAAATTCTAACGGGTTATCCTTGATAAATATTTGGTCAACAGAGTATGTGTGTGTGTGTGTGTGTGTGTGTACGTGTGTTATAAATTCGATTAAATAATAAATCATCTTCATATTATGCAGGTACCGTGCAATACGTATGCGTTTTCGTTGATATTTTCACGGATTACAAAAAATCCTTGTGAAGCATGACTACACGTAAACTAAATTGTACCTGGAAAATAATAATAGACGTGTATATACTGCGGTTTTCAATATCGGTTAAAACCACCATCGTGTTTATAAACATTTGAAAAATATGACGTGTACACAAGAATCCGCACGAGTAAGAACGTGCGTATAGTAATAATAATAAAAAAAAAAAAAAAAAAAAAACAAAACAATGATCACATTACCGTATCATTTTTGTTGCTGATAACTTTACGACGCACACGGTCTGTTGCCACTACAATCGCGTACATAAAACATAATTATGATAATAATATAATAACGTAGGTATGTGCCATTAAAACGTGACAGATAATATCACACGGTTTTGCCTTCAAAAGTTTCTAAAATCTCATCGCCATGGTAAACCAAATTGGTTAACGCGTAAGTACATCTAAATTCGGTTTCCGTGTCAAGCGAAGTATTATTTAACACGGTAGGCGATCCATTTGTTTATTAATTAAATTTTTTCTTTATTTTTTCCCCTCTTCCTATAAGTATATCTATGTATTCGTAATGAAAATAATTATTCACGCAAGCTTTATTAACTATTATTATTATTATATATTTATACCTATAAAGATTTATTTGTATTTTTTTTCAATTAACGTAAACCTTCTTCGCTGGAATGGTTCACATTTAATAACAAAATCTATTACAGGGTAAAGTAATAATAACAATAATACTTCACGTACGTACTACACACACGTTGTGAAGGGTAAGTAAAGTAATCGGCTCAATAAAAATCCGATTTACTAACGCAGCAGAGGAAGCTTGCACGGGATTTGTACGAAATTTAAAAATGTCTCATGAATATTGTTGTAGTTAACGGGGGGAGAGGGGGGACAAAAAAATTTAAATTAACGAATAAATAGAACAGGGAAAAGAAGAAGAATTAAGAAAGAAAACCATCAAGTATTAATACACACTCCGTCCTCGTGATCGCGTTTCGTCTAGTGCAATAGTTACGTTTGCAGCCAAACAATCGATTTCGAACGCGAGTGCACGCGGTGAAATGAGACGATAATAAATGATAGCTTGTATTTTAATTACTACAGTATTCGCTTTCTTTTGCTAGATGCATATGGAATTTTCACCGCGAACATCATAACTGCAAAATTTATCGTATTTACCGGTTTACTGCCGAGCCGTTAAAAATGCCAAAAAACCACTAATAGAAATTTAACCGGTTAAAGAAAAAATAAGTAAGTATTCATTTCATAAGCCATCCTCTTGCCGACATACTAATTAGAAATTTTGCCATACACG